CAGGAATCATACCAGGTTCTTGGGGTAAAGATCTGAAAAATAACCCTTCCTGCCTATGTCAGGGGATGGGCAAGGAACAGGGATCATTTTGAATACACCAGGAGCCTTCTCCCTAATAGGAGCAGATGTTTGAGGGAAGGGACTTGGCTGGAGACTCATCTCAGCTGACAGAAGGACTTTCCTTTCAGTCCAGCCCCTGTAGCCTTACTCTCTCACCTTAGGTGGTGTAAGGAACGAAACACTGTCATCAGTCAGAGCTTCAAGGATGTAGACAGGTCATGCTGCAGGAGAGGGAACACGGAGACTAGAGAATAAAGCCGTGCCCATGGAGAAACCCTGTGAAGGGGACGGCCTGAGATGTGGCCCCACTAGAAACTGAGATTTATTGGCAATATGTTAGAAAGCCTCAACGCCAAACCAACAAAAACCCAGTGGAAGAGCTGTGGCTTACGGCAGAAAGAGCTGAAGGCGTAGACTCTGGGAGTGGGGCACTTAGGGAAGCCCGAACTCAAGATGGGAAACCACAAAAGGACACGAATGATGTGTCGCACAGTAGTGTACTCGGAACTTACGTAATTAGCCAGTGGCACCCCAATACATTTAATTTTAAAAACAACACAAGAGGAACTCGAATTCTATGACACTTATCACTAGAGCAAACATTAAACACACTCCAACTTTTAGCTAGATTAACACGAATCTTAGACTACAGTTCTATTTCGCAGTTTCTAGTACCTAAATCCACATGGTCAACTTGCACCAAAAAATTATCAGCGATATATGTCAACAGTGTTTTAATAACATAGGAGAAAAAAAATTTGAAGGATGTCAAAAGTAAAAATAGAAACAACACGGTTTGTTGGAAAAAAAAAACAGAACCAGACTTAGATATGACACAGATGTTGGAATTATTAGATGGGGAATTTAAAATAACTGATTAATATGCTAATGTTAATGTCAAAACTATTTTTACTAATGCAAAAATATGTCAGTAATGTAAACAGGTACATGGAAACTCTAAGAATCAAAAGAAATGATAGAAATAAAAAAGCAGTAATAAAAATGGAGAATGCTTCTGATAGGCTCATCAGTAAACTTAACACAAGCTTCTATATCGATCATTAGAAACTTTCAAAATTAAAAACTTAGCAGGAAAAAATAAAACAATGACAACAAAACTGAACAGAGCATCCAGGCACCATGCTGCAATTTTAACAGGTATAACATATTCATAACTGGAATATCAGAAGAAGGAAGTGAGAACAATGAGGCAACAATGGCTGAGAACTTTCCAAATATTAGTGGACAAACCACAGATGCAGAAAGTTCGGAAAATGCCGAGGAAGATAAATTTATGAAAAAACAAGAAGAAATATACCTAGTCATATCATATTCAAGCTGCAGTGAAGCAAAAGCAAAGAGAAAATATTGGAAAACAACAATCACCTTAACAATAGAGGAACAGCAGCCAAAGTAATACTGATTATGTCACTACTGTTTAAAAGGGGGGGGAAATGGGGCAACTGTAAGAGCATAATCGATAAAGTATATTTTAAAAATCTAAAAAAAAATAAATTAAATAAAACAGTCTCTGTGTGTAATGGCTTCCTGCTGCTCGGAAAAGCATCTTGCATCCCGTCAGCACGATCTAACAGGGCCTGAAGGGTCTGCCTCCTGCCTCCCGCTCTAGCCTCATCTTCAATGAAACCTTACCTCCTGCCTTCCCATCTTGCGAGCCTCTTTTTGTTCTTCTTAATACAGGTCCCTGGGCTTCTGTGCATTTTCTTTTCTAAGTCGTTACTTCCTCTTGTCAGGTGACCCCTGGAACTCTTCCCCCTATTTCCTGTGGGAAGCCTAAGCACCAATCTTCCAGTCTAGATAGAGCACCTGATTACAGCTCACCAACAACCCTGCCCAGTTGTGATGTCCGTTTACATCGTGCTTTTTTTTATTTTTAAGAAAAAAATCATATGTGCCCAGCAAAAATGGGGACTAAATGAATGCTGGCTTTATAAATGAACAAATAGATTTCTTGCAGTTATCTTACTAGATCAGCAGTTATCAATTAAAGATCATGGGAGGAGTAGTTTAAATAAATATTTAATAATTCATTAAAAAATTCTTCAATGACCTCTTACCCACTGCTGGGCACCCTTTTACAATTTGGGGAGAAGAAGACACTCATGCTCTCACCCATGTAGTTGATTGGGGTATATGGTCATGTAAACCAGCAGAAAACTCAAAATGAAAACGTGGTCTGACAGAGGTGTGCATCGGACGATCTCATACGATCTCATAGGAGCCTTCAGGGTCAACACCCTGCAGAAGAGCAAACTGGGCTGTGTGTGCGGCAGCCTTAGCAGCCTGTGCACCCCTTTGGTGCAGGAATCCTTGCTGTTATGGTCATTGGTGCGTTCCCAGGGCCTACAAATGGACCTTGCATTTAGTAGGTGCCCAATAATTTATTAAGAGAAGGACTTGGCGCAAGCTAAACATAACAGGGATGAGGAACAAGGAACATTTTTAGGCCAAGGGAACAGTGTATAGCGGAGCCTAACAGATACCACATGTCACGCAGCTTCAACCTGGAATAGGAAATGGCTTCCTTTAGATTGTTGGCACTTTTCACTGGGAAAAGGGCACCAGGAAGAAAAGCATTTGGATAAAGGGATGTGAGTTTTAGACTTATTTGAATCCATGATGTGTTCAGGCGAGCAAACAATATGTTTCTACTCCCTCATAGTTTTGTCCACACTATAATTAACTTTTCAGACCTTTTCTTCTAGATTATAGTAAATAGATTTTAAAGTCTCACAAATTTTAAATTAGTGGAATTTGAGTTAATTAGGTTTTATGACAAAGATTTGTTATACAAGTTCTAAATTCTGTCCATTATTCATAGACGTTTTACCATTTTTATCACTCAGATGTAGTACAGTTATGAGTCAAAATTATACCCTTAAAAATACAATAAATTAAAATTGCAACCTTTCATAGTGTACCTATACCGTATTTATAAATGCTAGTCATATTATTATCATTAGTTATTGTTACTGCTTATTATTGTTGTTATTATTATTATTACTAGTGTTATTGTTTGAAAGGGAGGTATTATTTTTCTGTCCTTTGAGCTGAAAGGGGAAAACACCCTACTTGTTGCTGGAATGCCTGTTCTTCCTGCCATTCCCAGCAGTAACCAGCAGGTGGTATTAAACAATTTTACATGTTTGCTCTACAGCAGTTTTTGTGCCTCAGACGTTTCCTCCCAAACTTTCACCCCACACCCCAGGCACAATACCCACACAAAAACATTTCTGGGTATAAAAGACTAAAGAGATTTTATTTTATTTTTTATTTAAATTTGTTTTAGTCCAACGTGATAACTTTTCACACATGCACTGTTTCTTTTTAAGGTAGTGACAGAGCTTTATATGCAGCAACTCACTTGCTCTAACAAGTCTGTGGGAAACACTGTTCCTGGTCCCTGGTTTGCAAAGGACACAGTTGCTACAAAGAGGCTAGGAATTTCCCCATGGTCACAAAATTAGGTCTTTAGCATCTGTCCTCGGTGTCCACGGTGATGTCTGTGCTGAAATCACTTCCCCTGATTTGATTTTCTCTTTTCAAAGTGCACGTTTTCACCTAACACCTATCATTCCTGCATGGTTCCATCATTTGCTCAGCTACTATGAGCTGAGGTTTTTGACAGTTACACCTTGAAATGATACTACATAGAGTAACACCAGAATATAAAAAACTGCATGTTAGCTATTACCTCTGTATGGGGAATGGTCACATATGTTTCAAATATATGCATACAATTTTAGTGCTAAAAGCATTTTGAGGTACTTGCCTTTTATTTTACTGAAAAAGAGATGTAAGCATCCCCCCAAAGCATTGAGTTATAGCGGTCACACAGAGGTGCTAAAGGAAGAAACTGTCTGTTAAAGAAACATGGGAACATCGTTTATGAAGGCCCTTCTCGGTATAGAAAAATGCACGTTATTGGGAGACAGGCACATGGGATGTTTGTGAGCTTCCAAGTAAGCGCACTCCTTACTTAATGCCCAGCTCACTCTGTTCACAGTGATGGGACTGGGCTGGGCCACACTAGCAGGCAGAAGAGTCGCCCAGGGAGACTCTTATCTCTTTAGTGTCAGAGAAAAAGGAGTCCAGGGAGGGGAGGAGAAAGGAACTTATGGTCAGTGGTAACAATTTCACTGTCTAGTGTCCAAAATCAGGTAAAAAATACAATAACATTTAGAGGTGGGCAAGATTTGAATATGGTGAAACACGCAGGTGCATATTGAAATTGCCATGATATTTTATTGGCTTAAGTGACTACCAACTGCACAAGGGAGATGAGAGGACTGTTAAATCAATAGAAATTTAACTGCTCCTCAAATGTAGTGATTTACATGTTACAAGGTTTTAGTTTTAATGGTTTTTTAATTTTCTATAAGTTGTAAACTTCGTTATGGAAGAAATGGTGCCCTCGCTGTGCTAAGCAGTCTGGAATTACAACTTCATAGTGTAGTAGTTGTACTGGGAAGGAGGAGGGTCTGAATCTCAGGTCCCTTGTAATCACTGCTGAGGGGGATCGGTCTGTGGCCTAGCCTGATCCACAGAAATAATGGACTAGCTAATATGAGACTTTATGTGGGGTTTTAAAAAATTAATGTTAATGAACAGTAGGTCAATTTAAAGTGATGACTTTTCCTCATCAGAAATTCTACCTGAACCTCACCTGTCATTTTACCCTCAGCTGTCCTGAAGAGAACAGGGGGCCTCTGATAAACAAAAATGAAAACTGAAAGCATTTCAGGGTCATCTCTCCTGGTGGTTTTTTGTTTTTGGTTGTTTTATTCATTTAACTTAATTTTTTAGTGGAATGATGTGGCCTTGAAAGTTGCTTCAGAAACAAACAAGCAAACAAACTGCCTTGCATGCTGTCCTGCTGGGACCCATTGATGTTGTGGTTCTAATCTTTTCTTCTGTAGGTGTGACGACTGTTCTGACCATGACAACTCTAAGCATCAGTGCTCGGAACTCTCTCCCCAAAGTGGCCTATGCAACTGCCATGGACTGGTTTATTGCTGTTTGTTATGCATTTGTGTTCTCTGCCCTCATTGAATTTGCAACTGTTAATTACTTCACCAAGAGAGGATGGGCTTGGGATGGGAAAAGTGTAGTAAATGACAAGGTAAGTGATAACTTCCTTCTTTCCATGATTAAGGCACTCCCTGGGAGGTTTTGCAGATTAAGCATTTGTGTGTACGAGTCACACCAATTTCTTTGAAAGGGTGCTCTTGCCTGAAACCCTGTAGGAGTGCTCATCGTAGCGATACATCTTTCGAACCACTCCCCAGCATCTGGTGAGCTCTGACTCTGTGTCAGGAGCTTTGATAACTTTTCTTTTTTTTAACATAGACTCTTTCATGTAATCTTTACATCAACTTTGTAGCTAAAGTCGCATATTAATTCTTTTTTTATTCTGATGAAGAAACTGAGGTCTCATGAAATTATTTGCCAGAGCTCACACAAAGGGTTAGTAAGTACAATGGAACCCAAGTCCGATCACTAAGTTCACAATCTTAAACACCACACTGATTCATTTAGTAAGAGTGGGTGCTACCTGTTCTTGCTATAGAATTCAGGCCTTATATGTGGATTGAGTTACTACCCTTCACCTACCCCCATATCTGTTGCTTGGATGTAAAAGTCTATATATACATCGTTGTTATTTCCCCCATGTTGTATGAAATAATTGAGTCAGTGCTGAAGTACCTAGAAAATGTAGGTTGTTCATGTCGTCTGTAAGACAAAAGTTATTTAGGTTCAAGATAAACTTCTTTCGGGGTTGTTGGTGCTCATTTTTAGGTTTCCAGTATGAAAGTTAGTGGTAGTTCTGTATGTTGATATTCTATCTGTTCCCTTTCTTATTCTATAGATGATTATTCATCTACCTTAAGAGGAGGCTTTGGATATACCACAGTATGCAACAAAGTTTCCTTAATAAAAGTAAAATGTTCTAATTGTAGGATCACTTTAGCAATCTATCTACTTAAATGCTCTTCTATTACATTTGGAATACTGTATTTGCTAATTTCATTTATTTTTCAGTGATTTCAATATGTATATTTTTTCTCATTTCTTTGTCCAGGTTGCAGCTTAAGCATACAAACATGTTATAGTTTAAAAGTCCTGCTCTTTTCCCATAATTTTGTAATCAAACTTTTAATGAGTTCTGGTTTAGTTCACTTATAATATAAGCTGTATTTTGCACATGAGTAGCCCATGAGTAAACATTAAGAGAAATTTGATTAAATTTCTTTGTTTAACCTCCAGATTATTTCAGCATTTCCATTTCATTTTATTGTTGATTTGTGTCCTCATCCCCCATGGGACAAGCTGCCTTTTCATTACTATTTATGAAATTACTTCTTTTTAGTGATATCAGTTAACACATGCACTTTCATACTAATATATTTTTGAGGATAAGATGCTAGTTAGTCATTTGTGAGTGTGTCACAAATGGTTAACAGTAGTTTGTGGAATAAATTCCCCATGTCAAAATTCATTAATATATTTTAACATCGTGACTATGCCAATCAAGCTGGCATTGTGATTTGGCCTGTCAAAAAGTATGCCTTCTCAACCTCTGGACTTGGAAAAGAGATTTACCTATATATGCAAAAAACAACAACAACCCACAACCCATTCTTGAAAATGCATTTTAAAAGCAGTAACTTCCATGAATGAATACTGCATTTAAGTCTATCTGCATATCAAACCACACATAGTGGAGAGAAATCTAGGTCAGAATCATTGATGCTACAACCTAACATGTGGGACAACAAATAATAAAGTTTATATTGTTTCCGTTTTTAGTGGTTCAAGTTGAGTGATTAAATTAAAGGGCACGTTACTTCCGGCACAATGCTCGTTTTTATTTTACTTATTCATAGCTGAGTGCCAAGCACAGTGCCAGGTATAAAATTCTTATGGACTAAAAAGTAAACAAATTTCTGATATTAAATCTGGCCATGTAATAACATGATATCGATGAGAAGTTTTAAAACTTTCCAGTGATGAATTTACCATTGGATGCCCAATACAGTTCCCTGATTTAAATGACTTTTGGGGTGTGTTTCTTAAACCTTTATTGGAAATTTCCAGGTTCCTAGACAAGAAAAAATTCAAGTAGAATACTGTAAACTAACCCCTCACATATATGAATGAAATGCAATCTACCTCTGCTGTATTTTTTTTTAGATTTAATTTTAACTGAAAAATAATAATTTTCTAGAAATACAGTTTTAATCCACCGGCCATATGGGTGTCCTTATATTCTAATCAGACTGACGAAGTCCTCTGCTTTCTTCAACATGAGTAACTTCAGTTAATATATTTGTCAATATGAAGAGCACATGAAAACTTGAAAATTTGTTAATTGGCAAGTATTAATTTGCTTTATGAGAATAATCACTGATACATACATATTAATGTGATATTTTAAAAAATAATATGTATTTGACATAGTTTACATGTAGATTATGCTCTGATGATCATTAAAGTTAAATAAATAAATATCCTCAAGTTATATTCATATTACCTTTGAGCGCTCTCCTGGAAGCTAAATCCTACCTTGTTTTGTAATCTTGGCCAAATTGTACATCCCTTTTAGGATCAGGTGTGAAATCAGACAACAGAACCTTATTATTCTAAAAACGTAGTGTTGGATCAAATGGTTCAACTCCAAGTTTTTAGGTCTTTCCATTCACAAAGGGTTACATCTACTTATGGAACCCTCTGAGTTCTTCTGGAACCTTCCTTCATGCCCAGTGTTTTCCGCTTGCCGAAGACTAATTGTTCGGTGCCCTTTCCTTCTTGTTCCTTTCTCAACATTCATCCATTGGTTATTATTTTTTATTAATTATTCCAAGCTCACATTTGTTTTTTAACTGCCTTCTTCCTTTCAGTTAATGAAGATGCTTAATATGCTTACCTTACCATAGAGACAGAAATAAAATTCTCTCCACATCCTGTGTCACTCATTCCCCTACCCTCAGATTCTACCCTCTGTTTTGCCCTTTGTGCTTTTCGAAAGCATTGCTTACACTGCTATGTTCTCAATTTCATTTTAATCTCCAACTCACTATAATCTGATTCCCTTTGTATTTATTGTCCTATCACCAGAGGACACCAACAACCTCCACATTTTCAAATCAGAAAATAATTTTCCATTTTTCTCAACAGAAACCCATTGAACTCTGCTATATTCGAGAACGCCATGCCAGGCCCAAGTTAGTGACATTTTCTTATCTTTTCCTCTTTAAAATGAGGCTTAGAATATCAACTTCCTTCCCTCAATTTCTGGCAGCTGCCACTATTCATTCTATTCTTTGAAATTCTCTGCCTGAGTTCAGAGTGGATCCAGTCTCCCTAGCATCTGCTCTTGTTTATCCCCCAACAGACAATCATTTGGCTTTATTTCACGTTGTTTTAGTTTATGCTATTCACTGTGCCTTCTCATTTTAAGGGCCTTGCTGGCAGTATTTGTAGGAATGTGGGCCACACTAAGCACACTGTCCAGCCTTTTACTGTCTCCAAGTAGATAACCCCGCCTCATCCTCAGTACAAATGCCAATCCCCAGGAAGCTTCTGAAGTCTTGCCCACCCCCAAATGATTAGATCTCTTTGTAGTGTGCCTAGTACCCTCCTCTTTTGCTTCAGAGCCTTTATTGTAACTTGTAATTGCATATTCAGGTCTCAACGCCTTCGTTGACCATGGAAACAATGACTGTGTTTATTTTAATAAGTCAGTTATCCCTGTCCATTTGCACAGGATTTTGTATAAATTAGTTGCTCGATAAATATGGTATAGATTGATGAAGTAGGACAAATCAAATTTACAGCCAGCTTTTTAATTTTACCTTCCAATGGTAAAATAATAGTTATTAGTTAATAATAATAGTTATATTATTATAATAGTTAATAATAATATGCTATCTAATAATAGTTATTAGATAATGATATTTATTATCTATAAGTATAGCCCATACTTTCTACCCAATCTGTTCCTTAGGCTCTTATGCTAGAATATAACAACTCAATTTTTACATATCTTTTTTTAAAATGAAAGGAACAACAGACGAAAATAAAACTCCTAAATTTATTTTTTTCAATCCTTCTCCCAAAGCGGCTTATTTTTCATCTGTACCTCATTTCATGGCAAAACCTAATAAGTATCACATGCCAACAACTTGGAGGAACCCCTCAGCATCCCCAGTCATTAAATGGTGTCCACTCTCTACCCTGTATGCCATAGACTGTGCCCTTGCCATCTCTCATTTTTTAGTCTCTTTATTCCTTATTATTTCTATTCATTTCTGCCTCAAGTCCACCTTATAAATTAGGTCCAGAGTTATCTTCCTAAAACTAAAATCTGATTGTTTAACCTTTCATCTCTTTAATTAATTATTGAAGGCAATTCTTCAAGCAGCTTGGCTAATATGGGTCCAAGTTTTCTCATCTACTTATTTACATGATGAGTAATAAGGGCACTATTTTTTGCTGTTCATTGTGCACTTACTCTATGTGCCTGGGAATGTCTTCATTTCGGAAAAGAAGATATATAGGATTGGCCACACAAAGGACTTGATCGGGATCACACAACCATTAAGTGGTGGACTCAGTATTCAACACAGAGCTGAAGTCCATGCTCATAGTACTCTTCAGGCCATTATATGCCGCCCCCTCCCCGACATCTCTGCTTCTACAGGTCTCCAGGACACTAGATGTGCTGATCCCTTTTACTGTAATTCCCTTGCCCTCCTTCTCTAACTAATGAACTTTTATTTAGTCCATAAGATCCATCTGATTTTCCTTAAATCTTATAACTTTCCAAGTACATCTAATTGCCAATACATTTCTACAGAATCTAGTACAAGTTATTTTATGTAACCTCATTAAATCACACATTTATTGTAAATAAATCTGTTTCTAACAGCAGGTTACATTTTCTAAGAAGATAGTAGCTTTGTTTTATTCATTATTTTCTCTGTCATTCCCTCGCATACCATTTAACATGTAATTTATTTCAATTAAAATTTTAAAATAACTAACTTTAATCTGCTGAGATAGTTTTGTTTCTAAACCTTAATCAGTGCTTCTGTACTGCCCAAACAAAGCATATTCTCTGGAAATACATTGGATATTAAACTATTAGAACAGAGACATAGCAACGTGATACGCAAACTAACATGAAGTGTGCCCTTATTTTGTGATCCACTCCACGCAACTCATAGAAAACATCATTTTTCAAGTGTTTTTATTGATTGCTTTGCATTTTTAACATCCTGCCTTGTTCCAAAAGCATTTCAAGCAGTTTTCCACAATAATGCACGTACTTAATTATTATAACATAATTTAGGAATAGAAGTAGGAAGTCAGAATGAAGGAAAATAGACCGCAAATATTGCAGCCAGAAGGTTAACTGTAGTTCATAGCTAGCGTAGCTAAGTTTCAAATTCTGAGCTTCTTGGCGACCACAGTAAACCTTTGCTTGGGGTGGGTGGTGTTTTTCTTCCATCAAAAAATGGAAGCATTAAGTTCTTCAGAAAGAAAACTTTTCCTACACTGAATTCTCTTTTTAAAATAATATTGTATGGGTTTTATTATCAGAGAAAACTGGGTACTGTTGCAGGTAGGAATGTCAACATTTTCCCAATAAACGCAGTAATGAATTTCATATTGATGTTTCTTGTAGTCCCCTTCAATAAAAGCTGAAGGCAGTACATTAACATACAACTCAGTGAAGGCAATTCTTCAAGGAGCTAAGCTCATATGGCCCAAGTACATAGCTTTCTCATGGCCCAGTTTAATCCAAGGAAAGACTTTAGAGTACTTAGAGAAGTGGATGGACTATATAACCTTCAAACAATCTTCTGTAAGTATCACTTTTCTCAGCCAGGATGGTTAGCAGGTAGTTAATACCATTGTCTGCAGGGAGCATGTTGCCGTTTCACGGGTACTGGACTTTCCAGTAGCCACAGTGACTGTAAAAGAGCAACACGCTATGTAAAAAGAGCATAGATTTACTACTTTGTAGACCTGGTGTTTTTCCCCAAAGTCTGTTACATTTAGCGTTATATTTATAAAAGCACCATTTCCTTGCTCTAATGGACAAATCTGAGATTCTTTCCAGCTCTCAAACCATGTGATTATTTTCATTTATATGCCAGGTCACTTCACTAATAAGTAGCTAAAGCAATCACTCAAGTTATTAACACACTATTTTGTCTAACACTATAAGGAAGCCAAGATTGGTTTGCCAACATGGTGTAAGACATTAAGATTGCTGTAACCAGAAAATTTCCAGTCTTGAATTTTTAATTATGTATTTAGAACTCTAACAGAATAACAAGCTCAGAAGATTCTGAGTTCTGTAAAACATCATTTTAACAGTAGAATTTAATTACTGTGGGTTATATTTCTTTTTCATTCCACTTCACTAGCAGCAGCAACAAATTCCATAGCAGCATAATTTACATTTTCCCCAGGTAGGGTATAAAAATACATTGTTTATTGATTTTTCATAAACTATATTTGCCCCTCTTGCACTTGCATGTCTCAATCATGAGTAAAACTTCCAGAAAGATTGTTTTGAAGTTGAGCTTATTTTATGATTTCTCAGTCTCTGACCTCTATAGATGGTAAAATTGAGAACTTTCAGGAGAATTACATAGTAGAAGTGTAGAATAAACTATTGAAATCTGTTTCTACTTACTAATAAAATTTTACTGTATTTTACAAAAAACTAATGTTTATATATATATACGAATATATATATGTATATATGTATTTATGTATGTATAAAATCAGAGTAATCATTCTACCATTCATTTACCATTAATCAAACATTTTTGGAGCTTGCTAGGATCCCTGTATTGCGTAGTCTATGCCCTCAAGGACCTTACTTGTAAATCAAGTGCAAAGGGAAAAAAAGATGTGAAAAGTGTGTATACATGGCATTGCAGAGACAAGCACTAGGGTGCTAGGGAAGCACATGCAAGGTGGACTTACTGGTGTAAGAAGTGATGTCTCCATAGATGTGATTTTGAGCTGAATCCATGTAAAATGTATCAGACATACGGGACCAACGTTGATTGATCACCAGTTCCTGGCTCTTTTAGGGTACTGTTCACAGGTTGGGGAACACAGGAGAGTGTACAGATTTAGGGTGGGGTTGGAAATAACTTTGATTCCTTTTTGGATATTTTATGCTTTAAACACCTGTGGGATACGTAGGTAGAGAAGTCCAGTGAAACACAGTGTGTAAGGATTCTGGTGGGCTGAGTTGGCTGTGCCTCCGCTCTAGGGCCTGTTATGCATTTTCAGTACCACCTGTACCTTCATTAGCAATTGAGGGTATTTAAATGGGTGGCAGAAAGGATGCTGGTAAGAGTTAGTATAGAGTTCTATCTGTAATTCCCCTTGGAACAAAAAAATTAACATTTTATGTTTCATTGTCTAAAGTCTAAACCGTATACCTCAGTTCCTAAGACAACTTATTGTAAATGTTCCTCTTCCACAGAACCTTCCTTGAGCTCTTCTGTACAGTGTGTATGTCTTCTTCCAAAAATATAAAGTACATTTTAAAATCGTATATGTCAGTAATCATTGTCTAGATTGTAATTAAATGATAACTTTCACTACTCTCCACTAAGGAGCTGTTTTCCAGTGTGATTCAATACAACTGTTAGTTACTTCAACTCTCCCAACAGCCTAGTATGGCTTTGGTATAAGTATCTCCCTTCTTATCCAACTAGAAGCTGAAACAGAGATATGTTAAGAAGTATTCTCAAGGTCAAATTCTTTATAAGTACAATTTGATGTTGTTTTAAATGATGCTTAAGCACAGCTGAAATAATACAAACACTATATGTTACATACTCTAGGGGTTTAAGAGTCATTTCAGAAGATTGAGCCAGTAACATAAACTTCAATTAGAATATTTTAGGGAAAGTACTTCCAGGTTTTGAACAGCTTCCTCAGCGTGAAAGGCATATAGCAGGCTGTTCATAGTGAGGGTCGGAATTCTCGCACACCCACCTTTGTGTGCTCTTTCATCCACTTCTGTGACCAGAGATTTGGCTATGCCACAAAACCTCCTTAGCCCCCCTTTCTGAATTTGTAACTCGGGTTAATAATAGAGCTTACGTCTCACCCATTCGTGAAGTTTGTCACAGATGACACCCCCAGGCTCACCATTCAACCTGACACAGCTTAATAAAGCTCAAAAGTTGTTCGATATTATCTCAGCAGTTACACGCTAGTACATTACCCTCCATTTGTAACATGGTAACTGCAAGTGCCATGACTGAAGAAAGGCTCTTTTTTTAGCTTTTCATAAAAATACAAATGGTAGTCCTCACCCATTTCCTTTGTTACACTCCAGGCAGGCCTGGAAGAACATTCCATCAGCAAGGGAGAAGGGCAGGGACAAGCCTGATGACAGTGAAGGACAGAAAATCTAGTCCTCTTCTCAGACGCCCTGACTCTTTAGGGGCCTCTCCATATTTTACTATACTCGAACATTTTGAGAATTTTTAGTGCAAAGTAACTGGCACTCAAAATTTGTTCTAAGCCAAGTGGTCCTCTAAATCTATCAACTGATTATACTACTCACTATTTTGCATAATTCATTGCTGGCTAATTTTGTTCACATTGTGGTAACTAATAATATGTAGTGTTTACATTAGTATAAAATATAGGTAAATACAATTTATACTTTCCAGTTTCATTAATTCAGCCACATGTTATGTGCCGTTCGCCTGCTCTATGAGAGACATCATGGTAGATGCTAAGTTATAATGGTGAACAAGCCAGAAGTAACAGCAGCCTTTACTGAATACAGATTCTAATGAGAAAAAAAGGTGCCAGTAAAATAATCACACTAAAGAAGACATTTACACAATAAAAAATGACCATGATGGGAATGGAAATCAAATAAGCTGGGTGTTATGAAACAACATGTTTGGGACCAAGGACTGTGGTAGTTCAAGTGGTTAAGGAAGGCTTTTTTGAGGAAATGATGTTTAAACCAAGATCCACATATGAGAGGGAATGGGTCACATGAAAATCAGAAGGTAGGGTAGGGGGAGGAAGCAGCATGGTCGAAGACCCCAAGCAAGGAGATACTCTGAAAACTGAAGCTATTTCCGTGGCACTGGTATAAAATAAGCAGAAGAAAAAAAGCCATGGTAAGACCTGTTGGTTTTATTCTGGGTTCTATGAGATAATATTTAAGAGATTTAAGTGGAGGAGTGACATGATCCAATTTACGCCTTAAAAAAAAAACACTGGGGCTATAGTGTGTCTAATGATTGAGGTCAAGCCAGGCTGGGAGAGCACACACAATACACCCATTCGTACAGGCAGGAGATAGAGTGACCTTGACTGGAGCCAGTGAGAACTGAACTGAGGATTGTAAAGAGAAACAGGTGGTGGGTGAGCTAGCAAAAAATCAAAAAAGTTTGTATTTCATTTTCCTTCTTCTGTTTTAGCGTTGATTACACCACCATCTGTATGTGGTTACAAATTTTCATCATCTGATTAAAGCATTGTCGTTCGACATGATGCAGGGAAATCCTGCTGTCAACTTAAAGAAATTAAATGTCTTTCTTCAGATTTTGAGATCATTCATTGTAGATGATCATTCCTCTTGTTAAAGTATTTCTACATTTCACTTATTCATCCACTCATTCATAGAACAAATATTTGAGTTACTTGTAATAGTCAAAATTGTTTGTCATTTGTTAAAGTTTCATTTGTAGCGTTTCCCTGTGAACAACAAAAAAATAGCTCTTTGAGAAAATGATACTTTTAGTTACTCTGGGGTTTCCTCATCCTCATGGTTTTAGGACTTCATACACTCCTTTCATTTATTTTCCTAAATTCCTTCTTTCTAATGTATATCAAGATATTTCAGAATTTGAACTGGAGTTTGGAACATGTTAAGCAGCAAACTCAACCCACATTCTGTTAATTCTTGTATTTTTCAATAGAAAAAAGAGAAAGCCTCTGTCATGATACAGAACAATGCCTATGCAGTGGCTGTTGCCAATTATGCCCCGAACCTTTCCAAAGACCCGGTTCTCTCCACCATCTCCAAGAGTGCAACCACGCCGGAGCCCAACAAGAAGCCAGAAAACAAGCCAGCTGAAGCCAAGAAAACCTTCAACAGCGTTAGCAAAATTGACAGAATGTCTAGAATAGTTTTCCCAGTTTTGTTTGGTACCTTTAATTTAGTTTACTGGGCCACATATTTAAACAGGGAACCTGTGTTAGGGGTCAGTCCCTGAATCTAGACACAGGTTAACTTTGGGATGTATAAACACCATTCGGCTTGGTTTGTTTTTGCTATGTACAGTGTGACTAATAACTGCTAATTTGTGAACCATCATGTATAGTATGTATATAGCAATATAGCTAAACAGTACACCTCTAACGGAGACACGCATTTGCTAACTCGTGGAACTGTAGGCCAGAAGCACCCTATGCCCGAATCAAGACCGACCTTAGGAACTGGTTTTTAAGGTGGATTTCAGGTGACCTGATTTCTTTCCTCTTCTAATAGCAATGACAGTAGGGATCCTATACCACACTTTATGAACCCTTTTGATTTAGGTCTTATAGAGGAGTGTTTTGTACTGCTGCCTAATTATAAAGTAAGCTAGCACTGACATTCAAAGATAAATTCTTCTACATACCAGGACCACATTTCTGCAACAGCAGCCCCTTCCTGAGCACTCCTAGCATAATTGGAAGCTTAGCACACATCAGAAGAAAAGCTAGAAGTTTGACTACAGCTTTTAATTATTCTATAAAGTATCTATAGCCATGTGCATATTACAGCATGACAAGCTCAAATAGTTACAAATAACCCCTGACAGGATGTTAATTATGCCTGGAATATAGTAATTCCTGGAGTGTCATGGTCATTACATTTTTTATCATTAGAGTTTATTTGAAAGTGATCATTGAAATCCTATAGATCATTTTAATCACTGGAAACTACCTTAAATTTAAAAAAGTAAAATTGATGTGTCTTATACTTTCCAGGTTTGTGTTGTATCAAAATCGATGAGCTAAATTTTCCTGGTGCTGGTGACTGGAGAAAGCATCCAGTTGGGCTGCTGTGGGGCAACATTCCTACTGGATTAGAAAACTGTGCCAAAAACTCCCACCAGTGAGAATTCATAGGTGTCACAGAGTGTAGTCGAACACTTATATGATTCTCTTCTTTCCTGTTTACTGCAAATTCTGCCTTAAGGCTTCTTTTCATCAGGACTCAGAAGCCACTAATCACAATGGAAAGGGCAGTTAATTGGCACGTTTTTCTGTCTTGAAAGCAGCACTTTCAGATAAGAATTATTGTAAATCTGCTTTTGTAAATTGCAACTTTAAATTTTGCTGACCCAAATTTACAACAGCTTTGTATACCAGAAGAGGTTTTGGTAAGAGTTGAACATTTTTAAACTGAAATTTCAAAGGGTCGCCAACAAATTGTGAATTCACATGCACAAACATAACACACATAATTAGTGAAATTAGAACACGTACACAAACATGTAGCTAAATTAAAAACCAAAATTTTCTATTTTATATAATTACTAATTACTAATGGGCAAAATTCACTTTTCTTTTAATATTTAAGAAGTACTCTGTATGCCCCTTGGATATGTTAATAAAAGTTAACAAGTGTGTCTTATGCCCTAGATTCAGTGCTTTTGGCAAACTTAAGATCCTTTTGATTCACAAATAATACATTAGCAGTTATTAGTTGACTTTTACTACTAGATACACCTTTATGATGGTGTTTTTGTAGAAACATAAGTAGACCAAGAGTGGCATTTCCTGCAGTTTTGTACAGTATTTCAGTATTGTGCATAAATAGGTATATTCATAAAATCAGTAAAAGGAGTGTCTTATTGAAATAAGCAAAGTCACAACAAAAATTGCTATTCCTTTGCCTTGTTTAATTTTTTTTAAATTTCTTTGTTTTAGTGTGATTTTCATTATGTGCTTGCATGATTGTCTTATTACCAAGGTCACAAATGCCCTGAAGAATTCACCCTGAGGACAACCTCGACATTAAAAATTCCCTTACAAAAAGTAATTCACAATCCTTAATAAAATAATATTGTTACATGAACCAATAAATTTTTACCTTTAATCCCCTTTCAATAGCACCTTCTTTATCACCTAAATAGTTTTAAAATGGGCACTTTATCTACACATTGAAATAGAAGATATCCTATTTTCTTATACACCTAAATATAGCGTTGCTCTTCTGTGTAGTTTAGGGAAGTGTGCAATAGTTTGAGAATGTACACAGTGCTTGAAAGTGAGCAATAACAATGCTTTGTATGGTGTGCCATTATTAGACCCTTGAAAAATATAATTCTTATAAGTTCTGCATTGCCCCTTCATGTCTGACTACAAATTATAAATCTATAAATATGTACATATGTAAAAATAATTATATATAGCACTTTCTGCAGGACAAAAGGTGATTCATCTCTACTTTTGACAAAAGGCTGCACCTGCATTAATGGTACCAGTTTTATTAAAATTAATTGTAGATCAGAAAATTTATCATTATCATTATACCTACTTTCAGTTTCATTGTTAAAATTCTATTTGAGACTGATGACATCCTGATTCTCTGATCAGGATTCTCTATTATTTCTCTAACTTGCTGTATTTTTTACACACATTTTAATCCTTAAAAGCTGAGATAAATTAAAGGGAGCCTTTGGTCTCGCTGAAGAAAAGGAATATGCGCCATGGAAGGGGATTTTTAAATGATAAAAACATAGTCTTTATAGTTATTCTCTCTTCCTTAAACTACTTTAAAACACAAATTAAAAGTGGTATTAAAATGACTAGTTTTTCAGGAAACACATTTTTAATATAGTAACAGTTCTCTTTGACCCATGACATGATGCCTATTTTATGTAGTCATGCATATACATAAAGATTTATAGTATGTACAAAATGTAGACAAATACATGTACATATATAGACATATATCATATATCATATATCATTGTTATATAGCTATTGCTCTGATTCAGCTATTTACTCCACTAATATGTTTTATTTTTACTTCCTACTCTGTATTGTACAGTGGGAGGGTGTTACTACCACTCATATCACATCCGCAGAATTTAGTTAAAATTAAAGTATATCGCATTCTTATGCAAACTTAAAATTAAAGACTCTGTTGAACACATAAAGGAATTCAGCATCGAGAATCGTTTCATTAGCCATGAGACCACCAGTGTGCTGGGATGGTGGCTGTTTCTCTCCATTCTTCGATCTATGCTCCTGTTTGTTTGAATATAAAAATAGAATTACTATAACCATTCAAGGTTGTTTCACCCTTCAGCGATTTGTTTTAAGTGGCAGTCTTAATGTTTAGCAATCTTTTCAGGGATCTCTGTACTTTGAATTTATCTCAGGTTTGGATAACTGATCCCCTTGAGCTGTATTTGCTTAAATAGTTCATAGTTTATTTTTTAAAAAAACACAGAAGCCATTGTTTTACTCATTATATATATTACATGATATCATATATATTAGCCATTATATATAGTATATATAATGTGCTTATGATGTGGCTCACTTTATATTCCTGGATGAGGGAACTGAACTCTGCCATGATGCTGTAGATTGCAGAGGGACACCTCGGCTGCACAGAATCTACAGCTTGTGGCTACTTGACTTGGGCAGGGCCTGTCATCTGTCCAGGGAGGGGGGTCAGGGGAGCAGTTTAAGTCACCTTCTGCAGAGTCGTGGTTCTTCAGCATCTGCTAAGTTTTCTTCAGGTCCTCCGTGCTTGATGCACTCAGACAATGCCTGTGAAACACTAAAACACATATTACTTATTTTGATATCTGGAACTATATTATAGGTTTATTATACAAGCTGCTCATGTTATTAGTCTTTTGGCATACCTGTATTCATCAGCATATTTTGAAGCAATTACCAGATTTTTTCATATAAAAAGATTCAGAATTTCAGGTGAATCATAAGATGACCCATTGCTACTTTACATAGAATTTATTTTCCTTTTAATTGAGATTTCATAGGTACCTTGGACACTGAGTCATACAATTTAAATTAGGGAGGGTGCAGTTATTTTGGACACCTGCATGCTTGGGAAACCAGGACACTATAAACAAATCACTAATAGTGACATGGGCAAGACAAATTGTGATATTTTCCTCTTGCATCTATGCTTTAAAATTAAATTCAGTATTTAATAAACATTTTAATATTCATAATACTGTGCTATCAACATTATATGGAAATACTAATATTTTTATTAGTATTAAACACTCACAATATCATTAAATTCTAAGACAAATTTAGGGCCTGCTGTACCTCAGTGGGATGAGCACCGGCCTGCAAACCAAAGGGCCACCAGTTGGATTCCCAGTCAGGGCACATGCCTGGGCTGCAGGCCAGGTCCCCAGTAGAGGACATGTGAGAGGCAACCACACACTGATGTCTGTCTCTCTCTCCCTTCCCTTCTGTCTAAAAATAAATAAATAAATAAAATCTTAAAAAAACAAAAGAGAAGAGAGAAAAGCACCAGATTAATAAGCTGTTGCTAAACAATGTGAAACATTTCCCTTTTTAATTTCCTACTGAAGAGAAGACATACACATACACACACATAAAGAAATACCTAAGAGTCATGATTCTATCAAAGTATGAATCATGATTAAACCACTAAAATACATAAAGTTCATATAAAAGGCATATTGGGAAGGTAGCATTAATAAATTATTCAATATCTACTTAAAATAATTTTGTATCACGTTAGTTCTGTAAAATTCTTAACTTCCAACTTCTTTAGACCATTGTTCTTAATTATATTTAGCTGAAATATTTTGTTTGTATATATAAATACAATTTTATTATGTATGTAATATTATACTCGAATTCAAATCACTCCCTGCATATTTTATTTAATTCATTACACCCTAACATTGCCAGTAGGGAAGAACAGCAAGTGTGTGTTTTAGTTCATGGTAACAGCCCCAAAGAAGCCTTAGGTCTTAGCTTTGATTAGAAGTGTGTGTATGTGTTATGTGTGCATGTGGGTGTGTTTCCCAGGTATGAAGTAACCTTTTGAGAAATTCCAACAAATTTGTGAAATCTAAACCATTTATTTTATTAACCGATTCAATCACAAACATAGCTCTTATTAAACTTAGTCAATAAAATAGCTTATTCACTTAGTAAATAAAATTGCTTTTTCAATAGATCTGTAACAAACTTGTTAATGGGAATTTGTCTTGAGCTATGTAAATGGTTAGAAATTATCCTTCTTATAAAGGTGTAAACATTTTTTTCTGAGGTATTTCTAGTCAGTTCTTTTGAGCCATTAAATTAAAAGCGATACCAAGATTCTGCTTGTAAGGCAGAATAGAAAAATCCTTTAACTCAACGTTTCTCAATGGAAGTTTGTGAAAGCTTTTATTAAATTAAACATCTGGTTGTTCATTTGCAAATATCAAGTCATCTACATTCACAACTGGTCAGTTTCACACCTTTTTGAATTGAAGTAGTTCTAAGTATCTTCTGATAACGAATTCATCCAAAACCACATGCTACCACTCACTGCATGCTAGTCAGAGTTTCTGACCCTTTACATCTATGACCTCACTAAGTCCTCACAACAACCGCAATCACTGTGTGATTCTTCACATTGTGGAAGTTTAGAATTTCTAAATAGTACACCAACATGCTAGTCTAACACATATTTTGGGCAAAGTAAAAAAACCTATATTTTTCTTTGTTTTAATTCAAATATATATTCATACTTTGGGGGGAGCATCAATCTAATAAGAAAGCTACTATCTGATTTTCTACACAATAAAACCAAGCAAAACTAAAACTGTACAGCAACCAATAATCTACTTTTGTGAAAATAGCTATTTACTAACATTTGTTACAGTTTAGATTTTGAGAATACAGCTCATTTTTCTTTTTGATCCATAGGTACTTATATAAAATGCTTAAAGTTGCTTAAGCACACAAAAGGAACACTTTCTTAGTTTATTTTCATTTTTGCCAGTTATGTTAGGGGTTGGATTGGTTTTTATTTACCATATTGTTGGTTTCATAACATCTAAATCCACCAGACTCCAAATATTATATATTGATTTCATTGAACAATTCGTTACAAATTGCTATTAATAGAAAGAAACTCAAACTGATCCCAAATAAGTGTCAGCGCTGGGGCTGTCAGTGTTGAATTAGCTGGTGTGAAAATTGAAATTTTTCATTCTTTGTTTCAGAAGAATAACTACACGGTAACATGCTGTCAGATGCCAGCCTGTATCAGCAGAACAATGAGGACCTCTAACAAAGTGCATTTGTGAAAACGATTGGTCCTAGAAAAGCAAAACCAAGTAGTTAGAGTTACTTTAGGAATAACGCATTACAGATTTGCTTCTGATTACTCTATATTTTAAGTAGTCGGCACAGTAGTGGGAGCACGTGATTCCGTTTTACATCCCCAGAGAGTGCAGAGAGCCCAGGGAAGTTGGATCTGTGATGGGAGAGGCCTAAAGGGAA